GAACCACCTTGCAAATGCCACATCTTCATGACATTCAGCCTATCTACGATGTGTGGGATGGCATTTGCCATAGAATCCCATTTCTTCAGGGACTCATATAATCCGGCTAACTGTGTGTTTTTGTGTGCGTGTGCGAGGTTTTGTGTGTGTGTTTGTATGTATGTTTGCCTGTTGGCGTGTATGTGATTGTGTGCGTAATTTTGAATGTATATGTAAGTTCTCACGTGTGTTTTTTTTTGTATGTTTGTGTGTCATTGTGTAAGTGCATGTGTGTGTGTGTGTGTGTGTGTTTACACTTGTGCGTTGGTATGCGTGTGTTTGTATGTGTGTTTCTGCATCTATGATCTCATGTTTTTGTGAAGGTTATGAGCTGTACACTGTTAAGCTATGCCTTCTGCGATTTCTTTTTAAAGAAAAACAACAACTACAACAACGACGACAACAACTACAACAACAATTACAACGACAACGACTACAACTACAACAACGATGATGATGCAACAGCAGCAGAAACATGATGAGAAGCCAGCAAAGGCTAACTAACGCTATCAACTTTATCAGCAACATCAGTGGCCTCGACCTTGACACTCGCTTGAAGCAACTTCTGCTGAATGGCCAGCAAGCTGCTGTCGAAGTAATTTAATTGGCTGAGATCCAGCAGGGTAAACTTGGCCACAACCAATGAGAGCGCGCCCTTTCGAATGAGTGATTGGAAGAGGATGAATGAATGAATGAATGAATGAATGAACGACCAGACAAATGAATAGTTGGGTCTATGATAGAATAAATGAGTTAAGTTAATGAATGAATAGATGAGTGAATGAGTGACACACCACAACGTACCAAACCACACCATGCCACACCAGACCACACCATGCCACACCATGCCACACCAGACCACACCAAAACACACCATGAAAGTTTCCTCTTCACTATCTCCAGTGTATATACACTGCGAGGAGAAATTAAATTAATTTTAAAATAATAATTTTAAAAAATTAATTTGAAAATTTAATCATTCATGATGATGATGATGATGAGGGGTATTTCGGTTTCATCATAGGTAGCCAAACGGCAACCCCCGATCTCGGGGAAAATGTCGTCTAAACGTGTGTTGTTGTTTGTTGCTGCTGCTGATGATGATGAACGTTTTTATCATAATGTGATTAAGAATTATATCATAACAATCATTATCATCATTGTTCATAATCACTATAAGTATTGCTATCACCATCATCATCGCCATCATCATCACCATCATCATAGATGAATATGAAATAGATCATAGATGAAATCATTTTCACCACCATCGTCATCACCACCATCGCCATCATCATCAGTGGCCTACCTTCTCAGAATTGATACCAAGAACTGCTTCACACCTATCTACCCTCTGCTCTATGTCAGAAATCTATATGATGATGATGATGATGACAATCATCGTCACCACCACCATCATCATCAACGCCATCCTTATCATTATCAACGCCATCGTTATCATCATCATCACCATCATCATCAACGCCATCATCATCATTATCGCCATTGCCACAGACCAGAGCATTGAATTCATGTTTCATCTGCCCAGCTGACGAATAGATGTTATACTTCAGAGTGTCATTTGACGATGAAGCTGCCACAGCTGCAGCTGCCGACGTCGTTGATGATGATGATGACGATAAGAAACAGTTCAGTTCGTTCATTAGTTTCCTTGGAAAAAATAAACATACATTTCCACGCATCTATATGAATAACGATAAACTGAATGACTGGATAGCATAGAGGTAAAGTGTCTGCCTCTTGCGCTGAAGTGACTGGATTCAAATTCACATGGTGTTTTCACACATCGATGTATAAAAGACAAACAAAAAACCAAATACAGGATAAGTAAAATATCCCAAAAATATGTATAACCTAACCACCTGTGATAATGAACCTGGGCATCATTATCAGCACCGGAAACCTTGGAAATATCATCACCAAGACCACCATCCCCGCCACCCCCACTACTACTACTAGTAAGATTGATTCTAGAAAGTTCTTTTTGCAGGTACAACACTCTGTCGGCCATGTCAGCTGGCTGGAGTGATTCCGTGGTGTTGTCATCTTTAGTCTGGCTCTGTTACAAATAAAAATCAATCGAAGGAGTGATTAAAATTTTAGAATAATTATTAATATAGTTTACACTTACACATTCACCTACACCTACACACACCAGCACGCACACACAGAGACACACACAGATAAACACACACATACATTCAAAAAACCCCACGCACAAAGGCAAACACATAGGCAAATACACACACACACACACACACACACACACACACACACACACACAGGCAAATACACATATACAAACACACACACAACCTTAACGATGTTAACTTCATCCTGAAGTTGACTGATGCAATTCTTCAGTCTCAAATATTTCTCCATCATCGTCTCACATTTTGGCTGACTGGCTAACTATAATTATTAATAATTTTTATATATTAAATATTATACTTCATATATAAATATATACTATTAATTATATAATTATTATAATAATGATAATAATGTACATTATAATGATGATGGTGAAATTAAAAATGACAAAAGTGATGATGAAGAGGATGATGATGATGACAATGACTTACATCTGAAACCTTGTAGCCAATTTTTGGGTGGGCAATGTTGTCAGAAAAATCTGAGGAATGAGAGAGTGAGTGTGTGATTAAATGAATGAATAAGTGAAAGAACAAGTTAGAGAGTAGAGTAGTGAAAAAGAAGTGAACAATGATAGTAATAATGCTAATGATGAGGCTAATGATGATGATGGTGGTGGTGGCAGTGATGATGTTGATGGTGGTGGTGGCAGTGATGATGTTGATGGTTGAACTCACCGACGTCGTTTGACTCGATAGTCTTATCACTGAACAGCTTGAATGCCTCCTTTACATCCAGTCTTGAAGATTCTATGAATTCACTTTTAGTCTGTAGCTCCTGGGACTAAGATGTTCAATTTTTAGATTTTTAATTTAATTGACTGATTAATTAATTTAATTGATTGATTAATTAATTATAAATAAAATAATTGGTTTACAATTTAAAATTTCAAGTTCTCACATGAACATGAAGTTTTTTTATTAAAATATTTAAATTTAAAATAAAATGAAAAAGATTAGCCACATATCTTCAAGCTATCATTTTAATTAATCAGTTAGGTGTTGAAAGTTGAAATAAAATTCAGTAAAAACTAAAAGTTAATTTAATTAAAATAATAAAACTGACGGCGATCAACTCGTTGAGGATCTGCTGATCATCTTCTGGCAGGTCCTCAGTTTCATACACTTCCCCAACTGCCAGGGTGATGCCCTTTTCAGCAGAAAAAAATTTTCAATTAAAAACTATTGCAAAATTAAATAACAACAAATAACTTTTGGAATATATTCGTTAAATAAATCACTTATAAAAGGTTTTTCAGAGCAAAAAAAAAATCAAAAAGCAATGCAAAAATTAATCAATAAAAAAGAGCAATAACATCCTTTTAAAAGTTTTGACATCACGGACAGAATTAGCAATGAATTTAACAGATTTGTGACTAACAATTTTTTTCAGATTGTCACCAGCTTCCATTCTTCTTTAATTTTTAATAAAATTAATAAATATTTAATTTAAAGAAAGACTAAAAATAAAATCAATTGCAAAAAGCTATCACGGCTGTTGAAGTCAGCAACAAAAACGAATAAAATAAATCTAAAAATGTTTTAGCGCCGCGTTCTATATATATGCTGGTATATTGTGGTAGTTAACGGTTTTTGACAGCAAAATGATTTATATTCCATTAATTTGTATTGAAGGCTAAAAATATTTGTATTTAGATTACTAATTTTACGGTTTCAAAGATAATTCGTGAAAAATTCATCAGACACCCCAAACATGTCGTGCATTTAATAACAGAAGCGTAGTTTCGTAATTTGAGTCATTAATTCCACAAAATGGCCAACAAATAATTAAAGACACTATTCATCAATTCATTTATTATCTCCATTTAAACGTTAATAAACTTTTTAAACGAATTTTTGTCAATTTTTTCGGAGCTAGACGAGTTGAAGTGGACAAACAAGACAGCAGCTGCTAGTCTGGCTTTCGTTTCCGTCTCATCCATTGTATGTTTCCACTCAACCGTACCCCAGAGACTCGTCTGAATAATTAAATAATTAAAAACAATCAATAAATTAATTAAAAATAACTAATAAATTAATTAAAATTAATTAATAAAATAATTAATCCATGAGAGCATGGGTTATCATGAAGATAACAATAAATAATATAACATTAACATAATTTTTAATTACGATAACATTATACGTACGTAATAAAACAATAAAAAGATATTGTATAAATATAATGGTGAAATTTATAATTATGATGAAATTAAATTTCGAACTTGAAATTGGATCTCTAAATGAGAGAGTGATACGGCTTGCACGATGGAAAGTTCTCGATTGACGGCATGAGTGGCTATGACGAAGGATTTCAAACAGTCCACTGCTTGCTCATACCCTGGTCATCATTTCATTTGTTCATTTATTATTATTATTATTAGTAGTAGTGGTAATAGTAGTATCAATCAATCAATCGATCAATCAATCGATCAATCAATCTACCAACACACCAGCCAACTAATCAATTAATCAATTAACCAATCAATAAATCAATTAATCAATCAATCAACCAATCAATCAAAAAATCAATCAATCAATCAATCACCTACGAGTGACCAATCAGAGAATGACTTGAGGTACTGAGTAAAAGTATGTGTCGTATTTTCAGGTATCTTTGGTACTGACAGCCCACTTGTTACCGGTATTTCGACTTGAAATCTAGTTACATTGAATTCAAATTTCACAAAATTTTATGCAAAAATGAAACGCAATAAAAATAAACTTAAAACTGCTTAATAAGAATATAGAAAGAGATGTACACACATAACACAAGACAAGAATGTACAAATACAGTAACACACACAAACAGACAGAGAAAAATACCCAAACTCACACACAACAATACGCACAAATACACACATAAACACACACATACTCACACACATACATACACACACACATACACATACAATAGCCGAAATACCTTCTTTCTAAACTGTCAACAAGCCCATTCCACTTCTCATTCTGGAGGTCGACCAATTCTTTCGGCGAGTCAGCTCTGAAACTGGTAAAGTTAAGTAACAAATAATAACAATAATAAACACAACAACAGAACACAGCAGCAACAACAACAACAATGAACACACAACAACAACAACAACAATACTAATAATAATATTGAAAACCAACCAGACTGTATCTGTGCTGAGGTATTCGAGCATCTTTCTTATGATGCAATCTCTATCTTTCAACCCATTTCTATCTGCGCACATATTTGCTAACGAGGTCTACGAAATATACGAATAATAACAATAATAATAACAAATAAATATGAAAATAATAATAAATAAATATGAAAATAATAATAATAATAATAAATAAATATGAAAATAATAATAATAATAATGAATAAATATGAAAATAATAACAACAATGGGAACATCCTTTTATTTTCTAACTCCAAATACCAAATATTAATAATGAAATAATTATAAAATTCTATTTAAACTAATTATGAAAAATAATGATAATAATAATAATAAAGAAATAACAATTGGTGATGGCAGTTTTGACTGCAAAGTAAATGAATTATACACTAGCTAGCTCAAACGGTAGAAATGCCAGTGTCATATTACTGAGAGGTGTTCAGGTACAAACGCAAGATAAATCTCCTACACATACTCACACACACACAAACTGAGAAAAACACAAATAGAGGAAGACACACACATACACACACACACAGACACACACACACGCGCGCGCATACAGACACACACACACGCGCGCGCATACAGACACACACACACAGACATTCACACAGAGAGACATAGACACAAAAATACAAACAAGATGCATGTTAAACTTGTTAATGGTTTTGTCTTGGGACCTCCATTCTTCAGCCACACCTTAGTAAATTTTAAAAGTAAATTTAAGAAAAGGGATTGCATTCTTGTAACATAAAATTAACAATGCTACTACTAGGCAAATACACAAAACAAAAACCCTGGCATTATTATCACCACTACTACTATCAGCCTCACCTCATCATCATCATTAATATATTATTATATTAGTGTTATATTATTATAATTATTATATAACATAACAACAAACACATCATAATTAAATTATTATGAAATTATAACAGCAATAACAACAACAACAACAATACAACAAACAACAACATACCTAATGCAATTGGTTCACTTGGAATGAGCAAAACATTTCCAAGTGGAGTTCTAAGCTTGTGCCTATCTAGATTAACTTCAAACCCACCTAAATAAATTTTGTTCTAAATTTCAAAAACAATTTTTAACTTATTTTATTCAAAATTCTTTATAAATTCCTCACTTACAATAGGTATTTATTAAGTTAACATTATAAATTTAATTAAGAAAAATAAAAATAAAATAATAACAAATAACTGAATAACATGTCATATTTTAGTGGTGACATTTCAATTTTACAATGTGTCACAAAACATCAAACATCAATTTTTAATTATTAAATAAATTAATTAAATTTATTAGTAAATTAGTAGCACAATTATTAGTATAGCTGTGATACCATTTGATTTTGTGATTGTCACATTCTTGTAAAATCTTTTAATTTCTGGGAGAAAATGGTAAAAATAAATATTTAGTGAGAAATAATAGGCATGAAATTAAAAATTGTTATGAATAAAATTGACATAGACACATAGAGATTATATTATAGATACATTATGGAAGTTGAATGAAAGATATATCAGGATGGATGAAACCAGACAGAAAAACAATGACAACCTTTGGATGAACTGTATTTAAGATAATGCGTTTTCAGTGAATTGTAAACACGATTTGTTAAAAATCCATTAAAAAATCGATTCATTTTTCTAAATAAAAAACTCAAAAACAGCACAAGTTCGCGAGCGATAACAGATTAATTTCACTTTTAATCTAAACATAGAAAATTTATTAAAGTAATTTAAGTAGATGAACTTAGTTAAAACTATCTAAAATTCCATCAGACAATGTATTTCACATATTATATATATTTTATAACACTGGTGATAGACTATCATAATTTTTTTTCTCATTGCATAGTAAAACCATGAATATAACTTTGTCAGGAAGAAAGAATGACATTGAAGAAGCTAGCCACTGATATTTCTCTTTCTTACTTGTTGAATATCACTACATTTCAACTACTACAAAGTGTTAAAGATCAGGTTCTTTGGAGGTCGATGGTCGCCAACGTCCTGAAAGAATAAGGCACAAGGAAGAAATAAAGAAAGGGAGAGGGGAGAGAGAGAGAGAGAGAGAGAGAGAGAGAGAGAGAGAAAGAGCAAAAAGAGAAAGAA